TTATGTCACCTTAAACCCTAACAAATGTATCCTGGTTTAAACTTTAACGGACCACAATGCATTTCAATAGCCAATAAAATGTGTAAGCATATTTTTGTGTATATCTTCTTCATCTTCTGTCTAATGGAGTTCTTTCTGGTCTACATTTCCTCTGCCTAGTTTATATTTCTGTCTCTAATTTGTAAAACATTCAGAAGGCATTACTCATTTCCATAGGCTTGCAACAAGATTGTCCTCTGGGGAAAATTTCCATACCTTCTTTTCCTGTAAATATTCAGAGCCATGTGTTAGAAAAGTAACATCTCTTATAATGCCTTATTTTTAAAAAATGTTTAGTTATACTTGCAATATTCTTTCTTAAAAAACCCTACAGATACTGAATGCTGTTTTTTATGGATAGCCCCCGACAAAATTATTTTCTGGGTGAAATGTATTGGGCTTATAATCAAACGTTTTGTCAGAAGTCTATTATTTTTATTAAGTCAATTCAATGTTTGCAAGCTTTTAACATTATAAGAATCCTTAAACAGTCAAGGCTAAATGGTTTTCAAAAGACAGGAAAAAAGCAGGAGGAGAAGAAATATGGCTACCATAACCATCTCATCTGCTTCAGTTACAGTCTAATATGGAGCTCAGGAGTAATATGCATAGATGCAAGATCACTGCAATTGTGCAAACTGTGGCAACCTTTTGCACAGAAGTGTAAGCTCAATTCACATGTGCAAGCATTGTGTCTCAGGCCTGTACACTTATCTCATGATTTGCTTCTTTGAAGATGATTGGATGAAAGGGAGTACTAGAATTCTTATTTTCCTTTGGAACTGGAAATATTGTGAATTCTGCATAGAGGCTTGCTGCCACTGGCTTATCTGCATAATTTCACAAGATGTGGAATCTTAATCAGGCACAGTTTACAGAGAACAAAAGGATCTTTGGCAAGCGTATTCCAGCACTCTCCTCAATGTACAGGCATATTGGAACAGAGATAAATGGTTTAGGATACATAGAGGGCAAGCAGCATGGTGATGCACAGTTTGCAGAATTTCTGGCCATATTTGAAATACAGTTAAAATACAGTGTGGTACATGGATAATTTTCTAACCAATTTCAGCTGTTTTCATGCAGAGAAATGGAAAACAGCAATAACTGAAAAGAAGGCAAGATTTCCTACTGTGATGAGAGAAATATTTAACCTGTCAGCCCTTTACACCCTTTGCATAGATGTAGAGAGGCTCTTTCAGTGCAAGAAAATTAACTTAGTTAATTTTAAAGTAACATTAACCACTCTTCTAAAATGGTACAGCATGACTGATATAAATAATTATTATTACTTGGTTTGCTGGGCTTCAGACTTGGAACTTGGCTTCAAAATCCTACTAGTTCATGAAGATGATGTGGCCAGTCTATTTCAGCTTCCCCTTCCTCACATGACTGCTGTGAGATATTTCAGCAACCCATATATGCCACCCTGAGCTCTTCTGAGAAAGCATGTGCTCGAAATGTGATAAATAAATCAGCTTTCACCAGTTCTAAATTCGGTTCATTTTGGCTGATAATATTCTGTTACACTGCAAGTATTTGATGCAGAAAATATACTCTAATAGTGCTCAACCATTTGAATAAAGCTTAGGTTGGGATAAATGTCATCATTTTGGCATCACTGCAGTTCATTTTAGATGCTACAAGGTGATCTCCAAGATCCTTCCCATCCCTTACATTCTAAGATCCAATGGCTCTATAAGGACCTGGAATAATATCCTGAAGATATAAAGACCACATTTCTAAGCCAAAGAGTTTTCCTTTCCTTATAATTGGGTGCTTCAAATAAAACTAGCAGTCAAAAGCTGGCTCAAAAGCTGGTTAAATGAAGTATGATTTCCCCTTGACAGTTAATCCAGTCTTATGGGTTTCCCTAACACACACTGGACCAGGGCTTGTGTTTGCACAGCACATTAAACTAAACTGTGGTTGGCCACTTCGTGATGCAATATGCTATATGAATAGAGTCATTTAATAGCATAGATGAATATTGGGGACACTTGGCAGAAAAGCTTGGAAGTTTCTGTTTGAACAGACTAGATATGTGTCAGGAGTTCAGCCCAACTGGTGGAAACTTATTTTAGCAGTAGTAGCATATATGGTATTTCCTCTGCCAGCTTATCTTCACAACAAAGATAAGGAAAGTTAGGCTCAGGCCTAAAGATATCCACTGAAGTTCATATACGTGTGGAGATCTAAAAAGATCTCCTCGGTTCTAGTTTAATATTCAAATCACTGTTATCATACTGACATGAGGCTGAATTAAGGAAAGTTAGGTGTGACTAGGAATTTGGGCATACAAAGACAGCAATCATTTGATTCAGACATTCTCCTCCCACTAACCCCCCTTCTCTTCCTCCTCCTCCTCATTATTCTTTAGCTCTATGTGTGATCTTTTGTACCAGCCTTCAGCTGGGCAATCTAACAAAAAATGACGTAGGTCACTATGGTTTAATTTACCCACTGTTCTAGAAAAAAGTTCTGGTCCCCATGGTTTTTCAAGACTGATTTGCTGCTACTCTTTTTCCTAATAAATAAAGTTGCAGTACAATCCATTTTAGCTAATCAAGCAAAGTATTTCTGAGGTTTTGTGGCATTTCTTTGACTTGCACTCCACTCTTTGCTCTGTATTTTTCATGTGGTAAAACCACACAATTACATAGTTGACATGTTTGCATCATTTGCATCTGTTTATATCATTTGTGTAATGGAAAACACATAAAAAGTCAAATAGTAATTTTTCCCATGACATAAATTGATATAAATGAATTAAATTACATCAAGTCTCCAGACCAGTGTTTCTCAACCTTGGCAACTTTAAGATGTGTGGACTTCAACTCCCACAATTCCCCAGCCAGCTATCTGGGCACTTTATTTAGCCATGCTCTAACCTGGCAATATCATTGCAAGGCAATACTTCTGAAAGCAAAATCTACTATGACAGCCTTGCTTCAATATTTTTACTCAAAAGGAGGGAGATTTGTTCCTGCAGCAATAAAAGTTTTTAACGCCAAAATTGTATCTCAACGTTTATACGGAGCTCCAATTTGGATCACATTTGCTAATAAAAACATAGCACAATTGCAGGTGACATTTTTAAGATCTCTTAAGTGTCCCAAGCTGTGTTCCAAATTCTGTTATTCTCTTGGAAACTGAGCAATGTCCTTTGAAAACAAAGACTTGATTAAGCACTATTAAGTTTCGGTTGCAAATATACATTTTTTTTAAAAAAAGGAAAGATCACTTCAGGAAATCCCAAATCCTTTTGTAGATATGTGGCTTAAACAGATGACCCAGAAGATGAGTCAGATTGGCATTGATCCTGATTATATATTTTCCAGGGGTATGTCTTCAGCATTTCATTGTATAAAACAAAGACTATGGGATAATTCAGTATAGGAATTAATGGCTAAAGCCAAAGTATTGTGTTCACCTGTAACCTTTGGAATTAATTACAGATATACTTTTTAGCTCTGTAAATATCTGAATAGTTTATATTTAGGTAAATACAGAATAGCCTTTTCAAAAGCCAGATTAAATATGTTGCCATCAAATATGCTATATGGTAGATTTCAAAAAATCCCCATCTCTCAAAGATTTTGTCCCTGTAATGGTACTGATCCTGAAATGGTGGATCATATTTTATTGTATTGTGAATTTTATGAGTCTTCAGCAGGAAGTTATCTGGCCTATTTTAAAATCCAAACCAGGAAAAGATACTTCTGAGTATGTAAAAATTTTACTTGCA